TGTAAAACCATAGGAGGGTTAGTATAGTCCTGTTTCAGGTCGGGACTGAAAACCCATTCCACACTGGACAAAGCCAGGAATTGAACCCGGGCTGCGTAGGTGAAAGTTCTATGCCAATCTGACCCCCAGTTTGCTAACCCTTGAGGAGAAGATCGCTAGAAGTGCAAAAACTTGTTCCACAGTGAGCAGAGAATCTTCACATACGATGTTAACGTGGTTCAGCAGCATTATGAATGGTTGCCCTGGAAACAAGATGTGCTGAATGATCCATTTTTTTCTTTGTTGTACCTAGTTTGCCCTTGTAACATTTCTTGCATACCTTATGTCTTACCTGTCACTAGAGAGAAGAAAGAGACTATAGCTCGCATCCGGGAGGAGGTGTACTCTAGAGGAGGATGCCTTCCACCTCCCAAACCAAGCGGGGAGCACTTTGACAGCAACTGTATCACACCAGTGAGTGTTAAAGTAACAAGTTTTCATTTTAACCCTGGAGTTGTTTAGAGTGAAAACTGCCCATTTGCCAGGCTGGGGAGGTTAGATCTCATTTAATTGTTACCGGTCCATCGTTTCTAAGCAGCGCGATCGTGCAGGCGCTCCTACCGTGCTCCTCAACACTCCTAATGGAGCATAAAAGATTAAACTCCTGAAAAATATTTTAGGGCACTTTACAAATGATGAGCGATATGACAAAAACAGTGGACAACATCACCAAAAAGGACTTCATGATTCGTATGTAACTTAGGATTTCTCATTTAAACTGCTGCTACTTTCATACCTAGGCCTATAAAGTATAATTATTGTACGAATACGATTATCACAAGCGTGGCCTGCTTTTGGACCGGCCAGCCGGCCCTGCATGCGCGTATAGCATGTACACTGTACATAATTATGCTTGCATGTACAGGTATGGTGTGCGCAGTTTGGCTGTACATGGTACAATCTGTTGCATGTTTTTATTGGTCGGTAAAAAGTTTTCAGCGACAAGAGAGCCAATCTGTATTGATCTTCTTTCTTCTGGCGCTTAAGCAGAAAGCGGTGTGCCATGAGCTATTGCTCATCATGAAAGCGTTTCTCCGTGCATACATACAACGTATGTGCCCATTGAATTTGTACAGGAAACCCTCCAGCGTGTCGGACCATAATCATACGTAAACATTGTCACGTTCGCACATGCGTGTTGCTGTGACGTTTTCCCATTTTGATTAAGGTAGATTATTTATTACAGTCTGCATCAGTGAACAAAGTTGAAGTGCAGTTTGAAATTTCAAAAATATTTTTTTTCTCAAAATTATGATTACTGTTAATGTTTCAAGTGAAAGAAATGCTCAAATCAGGATGAGAAAGGTTCACTTCCACTTTTGTTTTAATTAGAGGGACACGTACATCTGTTGATTTGTAGGTTGAAAGTTACATGTAACACTGGTTAATTAGTATAAAAATTCTGGTTCAAATAAAAAGAAAACAAGCACTGAGATGGTTTATGTGTCGTAAACCCATGTTTTCATGAACTGAAACTAGATTAATTTCAAAATTGCCCCCAGAACATTATAAGCCATCAGAAAAAGTGGAAACAATAGACTTCAGGGTACCAACTATCCTTTGACTTCATTTTGCTCTTCTGTTAATTGGTTTATTTTAAGAAGAGCGATTTGCTCTCCTGAGAGATTTGAGGGTAGGGATTTGTAGCTGTCCTGGATTTTCTTACAATGAAGGACTGCGTTACGTTGCTGAGCATTTGGCGTCTCTCCCAGAACTCTCTCCAGACATTGAAATTGGATCTGTAGCTATGCCATCCCCTCAAAAAAATTAGTGTCGTGCAAGGGTGCCATCTTCGGCCAATGAAATTCTAGGCTGACATCTATGAGAAGGTGTTCTCTCCATTCTTAAGATTCAGCAGGTCCCACTTGTGGTGTCCAAGTAATTCATGAAAGAGGGTGATGGCATCTTGTCATTTTAAGTGGAGAGATTTTTGACCCAAAATAATGACACATTTTGGGCCAGTTCAGTGTTTAATAACAGTGCATAAGCGAAATTTTCAGTTTGACCCAAAAATGAGACCATTTTGTGGTGTTTTATTTTTCAGGGAACCGAGTTCATGGCCAGGTTAGCTGAGTGCCTTCGTTACTACATTACAGACAGGCTCAACAACGCCCTGGGCTGGCAGAATATCAAGGTGAGAGGGCAGTGCAGTTGGCCTGCCTCAGTTGTTGCACTTTTTGGCGAGGAATGCTTGCAGCTAGTTGAAGGTTGCTTAGCTCCGTTGGTATTAAAACAGGATGTGTTGTTGTTTGGATTGGTTTGCAGTATGTAGTGGTGTGTACTTGCAGAGTACTTATTTAGTTCCCACTTCTCATAAGTCTCAACATTCTTGCACTTCTTGTTTCTCGTCACAGTTGTTTGGCAAGATATGCTCTCTGTGTTTCGGCTAACCCGCTCTACCCATCATCAGGAGATGATATGTTTTGTATCATCTGATTGAAAGAAATCTGTTGGACGTTGGTGTATTCGAAAGTGACATGATTCTGTTGATTCTTTTGTTAAGCTTGAAGATAGCCTGACATTCTTACCTGTGTTTCTTGTACAGGTGATTCTCTCCGATGCTAACGCACCAGGGGAAGGAGAACACAAAATCATGGACTACATCAGGAGGCAAAGAGGTAGGCCTTTTAAGCATCTGTGAATCTGTAACCTGTGCTTTAATAGTGCCTAAATTGGTTGCAAATGCGGCCAAATTTTTGCCAATGCGATCATATTTTCACCATACAGTCGCCATTTGCGACTTAAGAAAGCTCAAAAACTACATACAACATGTACTTGAACAATTTTGAGTGTGCTTGAAAATAAAAAAGCTATAATTATGTACTCGAAATTCATTCTGGAAAGGTATAAATGGCAGTACAAATCTCATCATGAATTTCAAGTTTACCTTGTGCGCTGTACATGTACATAACATGTATATTGTATTCACATGCACTATCTGCATGGGGTACCGGCACAAGTCAGTGTTGGTTGGTTCCCGATCTAAACATATGTTGTTGACGCCCTGTATATGGACACCAGGGCCATTTTATAAATCACGGCTTGGGCTCCAGTTTTTGCTGCTTTTCAACGGCAACATAAATGAATCCTGAATCGGAGCTCATACCGGAATGAAAGGGTGGCACTGTGACTTAGAGTGTCGGAAATAGCGCTGTTCCTGCAGCGGGGTGTCTCTTGACATGCTGAAACTACTGACGACATGACGTCTGTGGCTGAACCCCTTGGCAAGAACCCTGATTTCCTGGATTGACCTCATTGGCGCTCGTGTATGTACATGCACATTGTGTGGTGTACATGTGGGGCCGGGTTATGATTCTACGGTTATGGATGGACGATGTAAACACGAGTACATGTATTTATACTACATGTCTGTGTGTACATGTACATGTACATTCATGAATATTCAGCACACATGGCGATCAGGTGGCACAGTACCGTCAAATCTGTACACAATTAAGTACAGAAGGTTACCAATGTGTGCTTACCATGTTTATTACAGGTACTAATTCTACCTAAGTTTTACTGTAGACTATGATCAAAAGTTAGTGCCGTCTTTTTTGCTGGTGACAATATTTTTCCCTTTGGGGCCAATTGATTACCTAAATTTTCATGAAAGTGCAGGCACCTAGATTTTTCCCCATTAGGAGCCAGTGGCTACCAAATCTTTTTTTTGTTCTTTTTAAAGGGTTGGCCTAACCTACCTCAAATTCTGCTTTCTCCTTGTATCACCTGCATTCCATCAAGAAAATTCTATATGTTTTAGTTTAAAAGTCCACCTTTGGTATAGTTTGCATGGACAGCATCAAATACTGAACTCGGTCAACAAGACCTGTTGATTCTAGGCTCTTATAAACATGGTCCCACCTATTAACATGGTCCCACCTATTAACATGGTCCCACCTATAACCATGACCCTACCTCATAACAATGTGCCTGCTGTCATATTTAGTTGGGTTCTGTGGAAAATCCCCTTGTATCAAACACCCTGCAGAATCTATCATAATCCAAACAAGGCAAAGTGTTAAAAGTTGCAGATTTGTATAGAATCCACTAGCGTAACAACCAGAGTGATTTTTGGTCCATGTATTGGTAGGCTTTATTTGGCTGGTCTTGTCCAAGGAGAATAACAACTCTCTCTTATGGAATTGTTTGTTTTGTTTTCGCAGGCAACCCTGACCATGATCCGAACACACACCACTGTCTTTGTGGAGCTGATGGTATGTGGCTTTTCGTCTGGAATAGTCTTTTTATTGCTTTCAATTGTCTGTTCAATATCTTATCAAGCGCACCTATTGTCTTTTGTCTTAAGGATGGCTCTGTATCATCAACTAACCGATCATTTCAGCCAGCGCCAGTTAGGATGGTTAATTCTGAAATTCACTGCACAGTTTTCATTGGCTGCTTTAAAAAATCACAGACAGTGCTGCTGTTTTATTTTTAGAATCTGGATCACTGTTAGCTAGAGGAACCTCCATGTTAATAGCCACATTGTTCGGAAGTTGACCTGTTGCTATCTCACTAATTAATGGCTCAAGAGTTCTGCTGGAAGGTTGCAAATTATTGTTGCATCCAACACAATGATTGCCATTTACAATATGAGTTCAATTTTGATGTGTACACTCCTCTGAGTAAGAGGTCAGGAATGTGTGCTGAATGGCTTTCTTTTTCTCCCCTGTTTATTTGCCTCCACAGCGGATCTCATCATGTTAGGTGAGTGGAATTGAAGTGTTTTGATTTTTTACAACGCAAGCAGATTGGGATTCATTTGTTGAAGTCAAGCAACCACTTTCAATTCAATTTCAGTTTTGAAGTTTTGAATCGCGTTGAGGCATCTTATACCTAAGATGCAAAATATCTAACACAATTGTACTGTTTCTGATGGATTCCATTTGTACTTGTTTTCCAATCCTGTGCATCTTGTTGTCATTTG